CAGGAATGAAAGCTTTCAACAGAGTGCCTGAAGTCCTGTCCCCCTCCCAATTCTGCACTCCTTATCCTGCCTCCCAGCTTCTCCTTCCTTGGTTCTGATCATGTTTCCTCTCAACCCTCAAACTCTCTTCTGAAACAATAGATTTTTACAAGAAGCATATGTCCTTATTCTGAAATGTGACTGGGGAGCCCTATGCTATCTTGGCAAGTCTCCAGCTGCTTCAGCTTTGGGATTGCTCTAAATTGTATCAAATTATCATTTTCCCATAGGGACCATTCTGACCACCAGAGATCACTGGTGTACAGAGGCTGTCTGGTCAACTACCCCATGCCACAGGCTGCAGAGGAAGAGCTGATTCTGTGACCTTGGAGTTTCCTCATATGATGGAGGGAGTTGTGTAACCTGATCTTGGCTCCTCTGCTTCGTAAGAGTGGTGCAGATTCACCACAATGGGGCCAAAAATCTGGCTTATTTTTCCTTTCTTCTGCCTAGCTGGAGAGGAAAAGGAATGATTCATATGTGGAATCCTGGAGACCTCTTCTGTCAATTGAATGTAGAAGATGAGTCAAGTTTTCATAGATTTTTAGGGTTGAAGGGACCTCAGTAGATCACTGAGTGCCCTTGCCCTGGGCAGAAAAGAGTGCTGGGGTCAGATGACCCAGCCAGGTGCTTGTCCAGTCTCCTCTTAAAGACCTTCAAGGTAGGGGAGAGCACCATCTCCCTTGGGAACCCATTCCAGATTCTGGTCACCCTTACCGTAAAAAAGTTCTTCTTGATGTCTAATCTAAATCTGCTCTCTGTCAGTTTGTGGCTGTTTTTGCTAGTTACCCCAAGGGGTGCTCTGGTAAACAGTATCTCCTATTCCTTGCTGCCCCCAACACCCCCCCCCGCCACCGATGAATTTATAGATGGCCACAAGATCATCTCTCAGCCTTATGTTGTGGTGGCTGAAGATGTCTAGGTCCCTCAATTTCTTGTAGGGACCTTACCTGCAGGCCCTTAACCATACGAGTGGCCCTCTTCTGGATCCTGTCAAGGTTATCCACATTCCTCTTGAAGTGCGGCACCTAAAACTGGATGCAGTATTCCAGCTGCTGCCTCACCAATCAATGCTGCATAGAGGGGAATCTGCTTGTGATTCACCTGCTAATACATGACAGAGTGCGGTTGGCTTAACCTATCACTTCGTCACATTGACAACTCACATTCATCTTGGAGTTGACTATGATTTTGAGATCCCTTTCTGCTGCTGTGCTGCTTAGAAAGTCATCCCCCAGTCTGTAAGTGTGTTGATGATTCTTTCTCTCTAGGTGCAGCACTTGACACTTGTCTTTGTTAACTTGCATCTTATTCTTTTCTGCCCACTTTTCCAACCTGTCCAAATCCTCCTGACTCCGTTCCCTGCCCCCCAGCGTGTTTACTTTGCCCCATAATTTGGTGTCGTCCGTGAATTTGGACAGAATGCTCTCCATGCCCTTATCCAAGTCACTAATGAAGATATTGAACAGCACCTGTCCAAGGACCAAACCTTGGGGGGACTCCACCACCCACAACTTTTCAGGTTGATACTGACCCGTCCACCACTTTCTGGGTGCGTCCTAAAAGCCAATTTGCCACCCACCTGACCGTGTAATCATCTATGACTGCTTAGTTTATTTATAAGGATGGGATGAGACACCGGCCTATAGTTACCTGGATCCTCCTTCCTCTCTTTCTTGAAACTAGGGACCACGTTGGCCCTTTTCTAGTCCTCTGGGATCTGTCCTGAGCACCATGAGTGCTCAAACAGTCATGCCAGTGGTTCAACTATGACACTGGCCAATTCCTTCAGCGCCCTTGGATGAACATGATCTGGACCTGCTGATTTGAACACGTCCAGCCCTCCAAGTGCCCCTTCACTAGGTTGGCACTAACTGTTGCGGTGCTGATATCCTTGTGCCTGTCTGTAGTCCAAATGGGAGATATGTCCTTATCCGTGTTCAGGAATACACAAAAAAACTCATTGAAGAGCTTAGCTTTATTCCTCCTATCTCACCAATTGCCCTAGTCTGTCCTGTGGGTGTCCTATGTTGCCATGCACCTTCTTTTTGCTTCCTATATACCTTAAAGAAGGACTATATGTTGTCTTCAATTTTTGTTGCCAGCCTGAGTTCCATTGTTGCATTGGCCTTTCTAACTGACTCCCTGCAAGTACAAGCCTAGTAGGTATATTCCTCTTTGGCTACCCTCTGCTTCCACAGTTTGTATGCATCTTTTTTTGTCCCTAGGCTTTCCTGGATTTCCCTGTTCATCCAAGAGGGTTTCTTGGCCCCTTTACCCCCCTTGATGTGCAGTGGGATAGTCCTCTTCTGTGCCCTAATGATCGTTCCCTTAAGAAACGACCACCCTTCCTGTACTCCCAGCTCACCAATGCTCTTGTTCCTCAGTACCTCACTTACTGACCTGCACTCATTGAAATTGGTCTTTCTGAAATCTTGCACTTTTGCCCTACCAGTTATCTTTCCCACCTTTTGCCAGATAGTGAATTCTAACAATTGGTGGTCACTATCCCCTAGGTTACCCTCTATCTGCAGATCTCTCACCAGCTCATCCCCTGTGGCAAATACCAAGTCCAGTAAGGCGTCTCCCCTAGTGGGCCTATATACCTCCTGCGTTAGATGAATGAAGGCCCTGTATGCAGATTAAGAAGCTACATGAACGGTCAGCTCTAGCTGATTGCTCCTCCCAGCAGATGTCAGGGTAGTTTAGGTCACCTGTGGCAACCATAACCCTTGAGCGTACTGCCTGTGAGAGCTGCCTTGAGAATTCCAGGTCTATCTCTTCCTCCTGGTGTAGCAGTCTATAATAGACTGCTGCTACCAAGTCTCTTTCCCCCCAGCCCCCTTGTATTTTGACCTGCAGTACTTCAATTTGTCCCCTTTCTGATCCCATCTTGATTATAGAAGACTTGTATTGCTCCTTAATGTGCCCAACTAGATTGAAATTTTTGTTTGCAAGCAGGAATGTGAGTTCCTCTTGCTTGTTCCCCATGCTCCTAACATTAGTATAGAGACACTTTAGCCCCCCGATAGGTACCCTTGGAACCCCCCTGTCCTGATGTCTATCGGGCCCCTTAGTACTGACATGGACTGTCCCAGTGCATGGTTCATAGTACGCTTTGCCTATGTTCTCTCTGTCTTCTGCATCCCCGTCCCCTGAAGAACCTAGTTTAAAGTTTCCTTCTGCCTGAATATATATGCCCTCCAGAAACAGAAAATTCAGCCAAGGGTCCCAGGACCAGCCTTTGTCAGCAATGGTGAAAAATCTTTGTACTAGTATAAATTGCCTTAGTTTGAAACTAGGTTAGGCTGAACCAGTGTAAATGGTGCCAGCACTTAGATGTTGAATAAGTGCTGCTACAGCCCTGATTAAAACCCAGTGCATACATTGAGAGCTGCTAGCCCTATTTTTTGTCTGTGTGTCTTCTTTTTTTCAGTCTCTGCTGAGAATTTACAGAAAAATTTGGATCAGATGAGGAAACAGATTTCAGATGTGCAGCGTGATGTTGAGAACTTCCCTGCTGCCACAGATGAGAAGGACAAATTTGTGGAAAAAATGACTATATCCTTTTCTTTTTTTAAGAAAAGAGAATTTGTACATAGGCATGTGTGATGGCATTGTGCTGCAAAGCTGTAGAGTTAATATATGGCTGGGTCCTGTGTACAAAGTATCTCTGACCTTGAATTGGGACAAATGTTTGTGTATGGCCAAGAAGAACTGGTGTGCACTTAAATACCCTTTTCCATAGGGAATCTGGGAATCTTTCAGGTATTTGGGCCGCTTGCAAAAAAAAATAAGTGCTTTACGGGAAGCAGCAGCGCATTACTTCAACCTGGCTCTGTAGCATATGTATAGATTGGGCGCTTCAGCGGGGTTTTTTGGCACTTTTAGCTAAAGCTGATTCAATCAGCTGTTCAACGGAAGCACACGAAAGCCCCACTGAAGCACCTGATCTTTACAGATGTCGGGCAGACCAGGTCCAACTAAGGTGCTTCCTCTTCTGGGCATGCACAGAGCTCAGTGTGGGAAAGTACAGAGTTGAAAATAAAGCACTGGGTTTTTGGGGGGGAGTTGGGGGGGGGGGGGGATTAATGTCTGCAAGCAGCCTTAGATGCTATGGACAGAGGAGGTACCAATGTGTTTAGGCCTGGAATTTGACAATATGCCACAGATGGTTGCTTTTTTGCAGTTTCTGTAGAAGTTGGTATGCAGACACATGCCATAGACAATAGGATTCCTTTTGTACCATACACAGTGACAAAAGATGAAGTTTGCTTCTGAGATAGTATGCTACCAGGTCTGGGGGAGCTAATGCCAGAGGCAGTGGAATCTCAGTGCATTGTAATGTGATGAAACTTTAATACTTGGTATGTGCTTGAGCAGAGATACCCATAAGGCTTCAGGGGAACAGAATTGAGATATGAATGCACTGAAATGCAGTGTATCTATATGTAATCAAAGAGACCCCTTGGCACAGTACAGGGTGTTGGGCAGGTTTACAGGTAACCAGACAGGTTCTCAGGGAGCTGTGTGAACACTGAGATGCAGGTGTGTTGACTCTGACTGCATTGTAATGGCTTGGGCCATAGGGAAGGAGGAGTGCTGAGGTACTGTAGAGCCTTATTTTGTAAGAAGATGCCCCTCAGGTATGTGCCATGGAATAATTTAATATGTGAAGTAGGTTATTAGAAGCATGCTAATTTCTAACATGGGTCTTAACCTGTACTGAACATTCCCACATAATCCGTGCCCTTAATAAAGGGGTTGAACTTTTGTGCCAATCTTCACAGAGAATGCAGAGGTGAATCTAATTGAACATGTGGATGACTACTGCTGGTGGAGATGGGGATTTCCCTGTGCTGTTATAGAAATCAGATAAACTGGGAAAGAGGGCACTGGTGAAACAGATATTTCTGGTGCTTACAGGGACTCTCCCTCATCCCTGGTGTTTCCATGAAGCAGCTGACTTGTCCTTGACTCTCAGGTCTCACAATTTTGTTAAGGAAGCCCAGGAGCAGTATGACAAGCTGCGAATGATGCATTCAAACATGGAAAACCTGTTTAAGGAACTGGGCCAGTACTTCCTGTTTGACCCCAAGAAAATATCCATTGAGGAGTTCTTTCTGGATTTGCACAACTTCAGGAACATGTTTCTGGTGAGTATGTTACTCTTTCCTCATTCTCCTTCTTGGCTCAGACTGTTCCTCCAGTGCACCCAGCCTTGGCACTGTCCTTTCTTACCTTATTCCACAAGGAAAGTAACTTCCTTTGTAAATATCCCCACATAGCCCTTTACTTCGTTAGCCACTTCTCAGTTCACTCTGCTATTTGCAGCAAGCCATGAAGGAGAATCAGAAACGGCGTGAGACAGAAGAAAAGATGCGTCGAGCTAAGCTGGCCAAGGAGAAGGCTGAGAAGGAACGACTGGAAAAGCAGCAGAAGAGGGAGCAACTGATAGACATGAATGCAGGTACTAGAGGGCAAACTGATGATAGTAAAGGATTTCTGGTTTGTGTGTGGAATAGTAACCGTAGCAGGAATCCTAATATACAACTGTTGATAATGCTAGGCTGGGTTCTTGATGGAGACAGATAAAGATTGCAGCACCCAGAGAAGTTGTCTGAGCAGAACAAGAAAGAATGGTTCCATCCAAGTGAACTCCTGGGCTTGCAGCAGCAGCTCTGGAATATGTGCACAGAATACTAGATCATGATGATGTACTTATTTTGATAGGCAGAATAACTTACTTTACAGTAAGAGGGTGATCCTGATCTGAGGAGTTTTCATCTTAGTGAAATATGGTAAATTTTATGACATGATATCAGTAGTGGGGAAAGGC